GATCTATTTCGCAGTTGGAATGATTTTTTTAAATTTATTTAGCGTTTTCCTGGAAAGATCACAACAAAATCTATGAGTACTCCAATTTCAGGTATTTTCACGCATTCTTCTGAGAGTGAAAACTCACTGAATTTGGGGTACTTTTCAAGTTGGCCCACACATGGCTGAGTGGCAAAAATGGAAAATGTGCCGAATCGGCGCGACAATTATTTCTCGATCTAAATGATTTTTTTAAAATGTTCTAATATTTTTCCTAGAAAGAACACGACCTCATATATGAATTCTCAAAATTTCAGATTTTTCTGTTGGTTCCTCCGAGCACAGAAAATCGCCAAAGGAGCCTCTTGCAAAACGCCTGTTTCGTTGCGCCTGACGTCCCTGTTTTGAGAAGACGCCTGGGCCTGAGGGCCCTTACCCCATCCCCACTTCTTTTTGGGGTCCAATTCCACCCGAGGACCGGTCCTTCGTTTTTCCAAAAGTCCCGGTCTACCAGAGCTAGCTGTAGGTACTTCGCAATTTTGGCAAGGACCTGTTTCCCAATTTTTTTTGCCCCCTAAGAACCCACTTAGAGTCCTGGTCGCCCGCCGCCAAAAATGTGACACCTTGACACAGACGCCGAACCTAGTAGACCGCAGTTGGAATGAGTTTTTGAAATTTATGTAGCATTTTTCCTCGAAAGATCAAAACAAAATGTACGAGTACTCCAATTTTCAGGTTTTTTCACGCATTCTTCTGAGCGCGAAAACTCACTGAATTTGGAGTACTTCTTTAGTTGGCCCAAGCATGGCTGAGTGGCAAAAATGGAAAATGTGCTGAATTGGCGCGACGATTATTTCGCAGTCTAAATGATTTTTTATAAATGTTCTATTATTATTTCTGGAAAGAACACAACCTCATCTATGGATTCTCAAAATTTCAGATTTTTGTGCATGTTCGTCTGAGCACAGAAAATCGCCAAAGTTGCCTCTTGCAAAACGCCTGTTTCGTTGTGCCTGACCTCCCTGTTTTCAGAAGACGGGGCTCAACGCCTGGGCCTGAGGGCCCTTTTGCAGTTCACATGCACTCACTTGTTTTTGGGGTCCGCTTCTACCCAAGGACCGGTCCAATGCCCCCCACTTCTTTTTGGGGTCCACTTCTACTCGAGGACCGGTCCTTCGTTTTTTCAAAAGTCCCGGTTCTACCAAAGCTAGCTGTAGGTAGTCCGCAATTTTGGCAAGGACCGGTCCCCCAATTTTTTTTGCCCCCTAAGAACCCACTTTGCGTCCTGGTCGCCCGCCGCCAAAAATGCGACACCTTGACACAGACGCCGAAGCCCACTATACCGCAGCCTAAGGGCTGCGAATAGCAGGTATCGCACCTGCTGGTGGGTGCAGCTCCCACATGTTCTCTCGTTGGAGGCTTGAGCACGGATGTGGCTGCTACGGGGTTCCCCGTAATACTAGAATAATAATGATAATAAAAAAGGCCTGAAAGGCCATCCGATCCAGATTCGACAGGTAATTGAATTGGTTGGGCTTAAAGAATTAGCCTTTGGAAAAAAAAAAAGAAGAAGAAAAAGTGCAAAATGAAAGAGAATCTTCCGTTAAGGAAAGATACATCCCCTTGATTTTTTATTTTTTATTTATTTTTTGCCATGAATTTTGTCTTTTGTGCATTTTCGGAGTAGTGGAGCGATGCCCATTATTATGTATTATGGTTTTTCGGACCATTCCGAGCACTCCTTTTCCGGGTTGTTTGTCAAGGGGATCCCGGCCTCATTTTGTTTGGTAATAAAGAGGCTTCTTTCTGGTTAAACCACCAGTACCTTTCCCCGGGGGCCATGTCCCACTTGCAGCGTTGAGCTACCTAGCTCAACGCGGAGTTTTCTATCACTTGTGACCCAGGAGATGAGTTCAGTCGCCGTCCATGGGGCGTCAGATTTTTCCATGAAATCGGAAAGGACAGCTAATGTTTTTTCGTCCTTGAAATGAAGGACAAAAAATGGCCAAACCCCAATACAACACCCCCTACCCTGGCCCTCTTCGGTTGAGCTAGCTACCTTTCTGGACGCGGGGTAGCTAGCTCAATGGTGGTATGTAAGGTTCGTCCGTTTTTCTCAAAAAATGTGCGATTTCAAGGTCGTCATTAGCAGTAGTGTCAGGCGCCGTCATGAGCGTGGCCCCAAACTGGCAAATGTGTTTTCATAGTGTCTTTTCCACACTTTGGTTACCCTTTTTTTTTTTTTTTTTTTTTTTTTTTTTTTTTTTTTTTTTTTTTTTTTTTAAATGGGAACAAAGCTCCAATCTATTGGTGGGGAGCAACACGTGCTGGGAACCGGGCCCAGCGTCCCATATAAAAATTTACATAGGATTTTGAAAAAAATGTTCTATACTTCATGCTTAGTGCATGCATGTGGGCGGTGTTGTCCTCCACATTCGGAGCATCCTTGTGCAGGGTCAGATGAATATAGACGGTGACATGGACTCTTCACAACCCACATTCTTTTAGTTAGAGTACTTTTTGACTACCTCCTTTTGGCCTGCTGCTCTGTGAAAAGAGTGCATGTGGACTGATTCCCAGCTTCTAAACCTTTAGCAAGTGTGAGGCAGGATCCACACACAGGCACACACACACACACACACACAAAAAAAAAAAAAAAAAAAAAAAAAAAAAAAAAAAAAAAAAAAAAAAGAAGAAGAAGAAGAAGAAGAAGAAGAAGAAGAAATGACTGGATGAATACGAGTTATAACTAATACCCAAGACATCAAAAATGCATCTTCTAAGGCATCCCCAAACCACCAATTGCCCCAACCTAGCTTATGATAAGCCCAACAACTTCCCAGTGGTATTCCTACTGTTAAAAAACACCATGACGTTAAAATCCAAACTCATTTCAGTTTCCAATAGGCACTTCCAAAAGGTTGCATTGTGGTGCGACGCTTGGTATAACCATGTTGGCGGAACTCGGTAAACAAAATGACTCCGTAACTTTGATAGAAGGAATTATTTCTAGCAAAAACAAACAAAAGTGACACATAACAGGTGGTAGCGATTATTTATTGAAAACAACGAGTCTGCCAAGTACTAACATCATCTGCAGAGTCTAACACCTGCCCAAGGTTGGATGGTGAAAAGGAGTGGCATAAACTTTGAAAAGGAGGCTTGTAAATTGTGACACTAACTCTGACTGTCGGCTTTGTGGCATTTATAAAATCTCGCACCAACCATTTTGCTTCAGACGCATGAGTGACAAGTTTGAGAAAAATGATTGGCAAACATATTGATGGTTTAAACTTTAAACAAAGATGTCGCGAACATGATGGGCTTTTAGAGACAAATATGTCAACATGAGGAACTCCAAATCTTTTTACGAGAAGAGTAACTAAATGGGGGTTCATCCTTCAACGACCATTTCATCAAAATGGACATTTTTTATTTTTTGAACGAAATTGAAACTGAGTTTTTGGCCAAAAAACTCGTCAAAATTTGCTGTTCCTGAGGGTCCGGCGTTTGTAAAACGCTGGAACCCCTGGCTGTACATGGACCTAGCTTGAGACCACGAACCTCCAGGCGGTCCAGCGTCAAAAATCGATTCTGTGTGGATGCTGCCGCCTGCAGAGGATCTCATGGATGTCGCTTGTTGACTTCTTGCTGCAATGGTGCTGTGGTGGGCTGAATGTCATGCCCGGTATGGCTTCAGTTTAGAGCACCACGTCAGCTTTGCAGTGGTCAAGGCATCTGGCTGTAATAGCTGAGATCACCGGTTCGATTCCATTTGGCTGCTGAACGATCATTGGCTACAATGATGAACTTACCAACAGGGTGCCCGATGCGCGGGGTCAGGGGGCAAGGTGACATAACATGCAGAGCTCCATTGCATGAGATGCGATGAGCAGTAAAACCCTCTGCCTCCCCCGCCCTCCCCTCCTCAAGCACCCACCTACCCACC